ATAGTATGGTGCAGGAACGGAAATCTGTGACAAAGGACGCCCCTCCTTACACCCCCCCCCCAGACACAACCCTCACCATCTCTTCCCCCCCCCCCCCAAACCACACACTCATATCCAAACACACCTGCCAGGGCCTGATCGGCGTCGATGGCCGGGAAGTGGAGGTCGGTGGGCGTGCGGCGGTGGAAGGCGCCCCAACACCGACCCACGCTGAGGCCCGTGGACACGCGCAGGCGGCCCACCGCCTCCAGCCCCGCCGGCCGCGCCAGCGCCCAGCGCAGGTCGTCCTGCAGCCGAGCCGCGTCGGCGGGCGCATGGAAGCCGGGGTAGAAGCGCAGGCTGCCCGCCGCGCCGCGCGCAAAGGCGTCCAGCGAGGCCACGTCCATGTACGGGCCCGCTGCCAGGCAGTACAGCTCGGGCCGTACCTGCGCCTCAGCGGCCCGCGCCGCCAGCTCGCCCCAGGCGGCGCCGTCGGGGTGCAGCGCGTCTAGCGCGTCGCGGTCCGCCAGCGCGCGCGGCACCTCGCGCGGCCGGCTGGCTGGCCGCCCACGCCGCGGCAGCGTGGCCAGGAACGCGTGCAGGCGGCCGCCTCCGGCCTCGCCCAGCGCGGTGACGGCGGCGGCCAGCGCGGCGCCGCCCGCGGCCTCGGACGCGCCGCTGGCCGCGGCCGCCGCCGGCAGCGCGGCCAGCGTGGCCAGCAGCGTGTCGCGCACCGCGGCCAGCGCGCCCACGCCGCCCGCCGGCAGCGGGCTGAAAGCGTCGTCCACGTCTGGCTGGACCAGCATGGCCGCGGGGGCGGCGGCGCCGGCGGCGGCGCCGCCGCTGCGCGTCAGGTCATAGAAGGTGAGCGAGGCGTCAAAGGTGGCCAGCGCGACGCGCGCCCGCTCCGGCTCCGGCAGGCCCTCCACGACGCTCGCGACGGCGGCCGCCGCCGCGGCGGTGGCGCCGCAGGCCGCCGCGCCGGCCCCCGCCTCGATGAGGAAGAGGTGGGTGGGCGGCGCGGGCGGGCGCACCATGTACTCCGCGGTGGCCACCATGTCCACACTGCCGCAGCACAGCTCGGGGCGGTCGGCGGCGTCGCGGCGCCGCCCCTCCATGTCCAGCGGGCAGGCGTAGCCGGGCGGCACGGGCTGCTCTGCGCCGCAAAAGTTGCAGACCATGCGGCCGCCGTCGGCCACGAAGCGGAAGTAAGCGTTCACGTAGGCCTTGCACTCGGCGCAGCGCACGGGGCCGCCGGGGCCCAGGTCCACCGTGGGGATGGGGTCGTCGCGCAGGCCAGGCGCGGCCATGGGGTTGATCACCAGGCCGAAGGGCAGCTTCAGCTTGCGGAACAGGGCGGGCGTCTGGGAGGGGTGATGGTTTGGGGGGGGGGGTAGGGGAGGGGGGG